TTCAGTTCCATAGAAAGGTAGTATTTTCTACCTGCAAAAGTCTAGACACTTTCAACAATCATTTCATCATTTACATACAGAGGTAAATGAAGGATCCATCATTTTATTCTCAAAATAGGCGGCATTCCCCCTGTAGCTGATGACGTGTCCTATCATCTCAGTTCTACCCGTGTTATACCAGCATCCTATTCATACCAACGTCAAACTCCCTCAATTGATCAGTTAAAACAAAAGCCACTTCTGTGGGGAGCACACAATTGTTATTCTTAAACTCCTGCCCAATTTCAACAACTTGGGTATTTCTAGCCAAGGGAACCTTGCAAATGGTTTTCACGCCCAGGTTCCGGCCCCGTCACACATACCTCTCTGCCCACGAGGGGCCCGGCTGTGGACGGCTGGATCATCGTCAGGGTCCTCCTCGGGACAGGACTGCTCTAGAGGCAAGAGAATTCGTTACGGGTCCTGAGCGCTGCAGGGATGTGACTGCCTTCGCCTCCCACACCAACCAGAAAGGAACGCAGGAGCACAGTGGGACGGGCAGAAACAGGGTCACGGCGGTGACGCGAACCGGGTTTGTTCTTGTGTTATCATGACTGAGGTTGTATTATTTTCTGTATGAACAGCCGTAAACCTACGTTGGCCTCACCCTGAATTTGGTCTGCCAGGTAATTTTGCAATGCTAGGTATGAACAAGACATCGGCTTAACCAACTAGTAAACTTATTTCCCTAAAATTATAATAAAGTTTGAAGAAATTCTAAGAATGCATCATATCACCCAAACTTAACACATTTATGGTAGAAACCCAGAAAACAGGTAAATTGGGGGGAAAAGAGTAATTGTTCGCCCTGCAAAATACTTCTCCCCTAATCGACAGGGTTTGTCTCAGGCTCCGTGGGAATCGTGACTGTCCGCGAACATCCCCACGTGCTCACCAAAGGAACAGAGTGCAGGACCATCCTCACACACAGCCACAGGCAGGGAACAGGACCCTGCCCTGCCCGTGGGAGCCGTCTGCTTGGAGCCCGTCCACCAGGAGACAGCTGAAACACCAGTGCCCGGGGCACTGTAATTACTGCAAAGGGCCCAGCAGTTGTTTGGGGAAAATACGGCCTTCCTGGTAATATGTAAATACCTTCCCGTACATTTCCTGATCCGAGAGCTCTCTCTAGTTTTGCAAAAAATCATTAGTTATTCTGCCCCCACGGGACAGCAAACAATGGTGGTGCTCAAACAAGGTCAGCGAGGACACCAGAGCAGCGTGAGAACGGGCCTGCACGGCGCACTCCAGGCGAGCTCACCTTTCCCACGGTCAGGTTTCCCTGATTACCTGCCCACGGAACTGAAGAACCAATGCCAGCGACGGGAAGAACAAACACCCCCCAACATTCAGACATAATTTAGGTTAGTCCAGTCTCCAAACACTAGGAGAAGCAAACACAACTCCGGAACCCCCATAACAGGAGGGTTTATTTAAGTGCTTGCTACTAACAATGACCAAAGAAGCCACAATTTACTGTCACACAAAAAGGCAATTCCCAAGACTTACCTTTTATAACGTAAGCTCTGTAGCATCTTGTCGTTTCCTTTGTACGGATTAGGCATTGCAATGATAGGCTCATTACAGCCAAAAAGGTTCTTACACATTCGGGGTCTTAGTCTTTTTAGAGAACAACTTGAGATTCTGTGAACCTCTTAAAAAAATCTTTTTTATTGATGTCAGAGAGGAAGGGAGAGGGAGAGACAGAAACATCACCGATGGCAGAGAATCAGTGACCGGCTGCCTCCGGCACGCCCCCTACAGGGGATCCAGCCCACAACCTGGGCCTGTGCCCTTGACTGGAATCCAACCCGGGACCCCACAGGCCGATGTTCTAACCACTGAGCCCACCAGCCAGGGCTCTGTAAACCTCTTTAAAAACACACACACCCACAAGAGCACACACACAAAATTTTGCAAATAATTACCAAGGAATCTACAGCAGAAATAGCAATAATGAGCATCCTGTTTACAAAAAATCCTAAGGAATCTAGTGAAAACTATCAGAACTAAACAAGTTCAGCAAGGTTGCGGGATTCAAGATCAAGGCACAAAAAATCAATAGTATTTCTCTATGGGAACAATGAGTACATGAAAATTTACCTAAAGAAACAACTCCATCTACAACAACATTAAAAATAAAATATTTAGGGAAAAAACAACGAAAGGCGTGTAAGACTCAATACTTGGAAAACTACGATGCACTGTTGAAAGAATCTAAAGACTTAACTAAACGGGAAGATCAGAAAATTTAATATTCAATCATAATTAATTCTTTAATGGTTCTCTACTGTTACTTTTCCTCTGGCCAAAAACTCAGTAATTTAAGATTTATGGAAACAACAGCCAGGTTAAACTTGGCTGAATTATGTCAAAACACTTCCACGCACTCGCTCTCCACCCAGACGAAAGCGATCCCGTCACATACCTGCACGCGCCCATGGGTGCCTTCCTGCTTCTGCTTCATATTGGGGTTCATTGTGCACCTGGGGAAGGACAAGCAGTCACCAACCGCGGAGGGAGGCCGCCGGGGGCGGGGCCTGCGCCTCCCCTGGGGCTGGGGGCGGGCCTCAGCCCTGCCAGTGACCCTGGACATCTGTACTTTATAGAAACACACCCAATAATTCCGGTTAGAAAAAGCTTGTTGCAAAAGGGAAAATATAAATGCACAGTCACTCTAAACAAAGGTACAAAACATGCCGGTGTCCGGGCTGGGGCAGGGCGTGTCCTGGCTGAGGGGCGGGGGGTGTCCTGACTGAGGGGCTGGGCTGTCCTGGCTGAGGGACGGGGGGCGGGGGGTGTCCTGGCTGAGGGACGGGGGAAAGATCTGCGAAAGGCCACAGGGAAGGCGCAGCAGATCCCGGGGTGTGCCCGTCTCAGTGCTGGAGAACAGCACCCCAACCTCGCCCTTTCCCAGGCGGAGGGCGGTGATAAGCTCGGCAGTGACCTGGGAGGGGCTTAACATCCGATCCACTGAGGCGACGCCCTCACACTGTGGGACGTGTTTCCGCACCATCAGGAGCTGAGACGTGGGTAAGTACAGAGGCTCAGCACCCACTGGGCCGGACTGACACCCACGTTTGGCCCCAGGCACGTGCCTCTACTCCGTCCGGGCGCCCACACTGTGACTGTATGACCCATCGCCCTGGGACCCCGCAGTCAAACAGGGAGTCACCAACGTCGTTTAGGAAAAAAAGTGATCGGAACGGAACTGAAAATACGCGAAAACGCGCGTGCATGGCCCGTAGGGAGCCGGTCCAGCTTCGGGAATGTGATGGAGCTGGACGGCTGCGATGTACCATGTGCTTTCGTCCGCGTCGCATTACAAATGCTGACAGCCACCGCTCCGGGGAGGTCAGCCCTGCACCTGCGCGTGGTCTGCACCGCGGTCTGCAGCCGGCGCCCCGCACTCGCGGTCCAGTTCTTTCCGACGGAAGACACCAGCCTGGGCCTGGCTCCAAATGACAGGCTGACACTCCGGGGAACCGGGGAACCGGTGTCACCAGCGCCAGTGCCGCGGCTTAACGAGGGGCCAGGATTTAGCGACCTTCCCCTCGAGCCCGGGGTGCGGACCCCACGCCCCTCGCCCGGACACCGCCAGTCCTTGGTCCCGGGGGCGGACGTCCCGCTTCCCCACCAGCCAGAATCAGGCGCCTCGCCGGCCACCCCGCCTCCCGACCCCGACCAGCAGGGGGCGCAGCGCTCCAACCGCGCGCGCCAGCCAGCCAATAGGGAGCGCGGAAAGGGAACGCGCCAAAATCAGCTGAGCCAATGGGGCGGTCCGGCGGCTCACCGACTGCCCCGCCCGCCCCTGTTCCAAAACTCACCGCGATCCTGCGGAGTCAGGGAGGACCGGTGCCGGCGGGCGGGCAGCCCCCGCGTAAACCTCCTGCCACCTCTGCTCACTTGTTGGAGGGAACTGTTCGGTCCTGGCCGCGCCGCGCCGCCCAGAACCCGGCTCGCCGCGCCGGGCCCACCTCCGCCCCGCGGCTGACGCGCGCTGCTCCAAAAGCTCGCCAACTCCGCCCCGACGGCCACGTGACCTGCCCGAGGGGTGTGGCTTCCCGAATCCAGCCAATCGCCGCCCGCCTTGGCCCCGCCCCTGCCTGCGCCTGCGCGACGGTCGCGGTGGGTCTCTGCGCGAGGGCGTCGCGGCGTAGTCCCGCGTCCTGAGCTCCGACCCGGCTCGCAGCGGGGAGAACCAGCACCGGAGGATGGCGAGCTGCACGTGCTGCGCACGACTCCTCGTGGTCTGTGCGGCCCTGGCCCCGCGGCTCCCTAATGTGGGCAGAGCCTTCACATTCGGGATTTTTGCATTTTGACCCTTAGGGTTCAGGAGGCGCTCGGGTCCCAGGTGGGTTCCCGCTGCCCTGCAACTCGGGGCGACGAGACCTCAGCCCCGCGCGCGGCCAGCTTTCCTTATTGCCCCCCCAAGTCCTCATATCGTGGTCTTTGTGGGCGCGGTGCCCGGGCCCACCTGCTGCAGGTGCCGCTGCA